TCCCACGCCTGCAACTTCAGCACTCTCATGTTCCTAAGACACTCTGACGTTTTCCTCATTCTTTCGTCTTTCGCGGTCATCAACTTATCTTGATACTCTTCCTGAACCTTAGCCAACGGAATCGTGACAAGAATCGAGATTATGGTCGCAACTAACGTAGCTACAGACGCTATGCCCACGTTTTTATACAAGATTGCAAGAGCAAGAACTATCTGCATCGGAAGCATCCAAATATCATGAAGATACCACGCGTAATCCCCTATCCGCTGCACATCAACTGCCATGTAGTTCACAATTTCGCCGCTTGTGTGATTCTGCTTGGATATACTCGAAAGTTTGAGACCTTTTCGGTACACCATGGCTGTGAGAGCTGATCTAACATGCATTCCCAAGATATCAACCCCCATATACCACTGACGGGTGGTGACTGTCTCTACAAGCTTGGACGTAAAGAATATCCCAGCGAGAACATATCCTTCATGACGGAAAATCTCCTTCCCTCCAAGATAATCAACGAAGTAGCTGATCAAGTAAGGACCCACATAAGACACGAGAGTATTCAATCCAGCAAAGACCGCATTGCAAGCTGCTTCTTTCCCAAAGGATTTCAGAATTGCACGAGCCAAAGAAGGAGGCTTTGAAGGATTCTCGGATTTCGATCTCTTCCAGTTCGACTTCAAGATCTTGTAACTTGACTTGGCTCTGTCTTTTGGTGCAAGAAGCGGTATATCCTTAAGCTCAAGCGGTCTCTTTGAGCCTGCCGAGAGAAGCGGATCTAACCAAGAAAGCGTCACTAGGCTAACTAGTCCAGCACTGCTATACGGAGTAACTTTGAGACAAGCTGCCTCTTCTTCCACAAGCAGAGGCTCTTGAAGATCAGAAGAGCTTCGGCGAACCTCAATACCAGAAATGCCTCTCCACGCCACAAAGCAAAGAAACCCGAGAGCAGGTGTAACTGCTAAATTGGCCACAACATGCGAAGAACATCCGCTCCAGCCTTCAACCGCTAACTTTCTCCCGTCCACATACAACGTGCAGAGACAGATGGAAAACGCCAAGAACCACCATATCCTCGCCAACAAGGGTAACTTCTCCGATGACTTGTATTTCAAATGAAGAACTAAGAAGCTAAGCACAAACCAAGCTAGACACTGAGCAGCTGGAAAGCAAAGAACAAACCAGTCACTGGCTTCTCTTACAGCCCTAACCCCATCAAACCCTGACACCAAAACCTGCACGCCTAACACATACAAGCAACAGAGCAAAGATAACTTAAACCCAACCCCAACACTAACGTCGTCAATCTCTCCTTCCGAGCTAACATTACGGCTAGAAGCTGAAACCGTATCTTCCTTAGAGAGCCTATCTCTGCCTCTTCTCACGCACACGAGAATCTGCCTCGCGGAGACGGCAAATAGAAACACCACGAAAAGCGTGAGATTGATGAAGACAGAGCAGAGTTCCAATACTGGCAAATGCTCTGTAAAGAGGGACGAGATCTCATCAAAACCCATGATTGAAAGATTTGAGAAAGAGTTTGTTTGAGATCAACCGGCGGAGTCTACGAGCTAAAACAAGCATCTCACTACCCTCCAAAACTGTAGCTGCAAACAAAAACAAAACCAGAGGCGATGAATCTTTGCTTTCGACAGGAGAGAAGTATATCGACACATTGCAATTTGCAAATCGAAACAAATTTGAGTTTCTCTGCATACCCCAACACGTAGAATCAATCACAGAGATAATAAAACACAAACAAATAAAAACAAATACAGAAAAAGGAAACTCAGTGCGTTGCGTTTGGACCTCACCAGCTTTGGTAGATCAAAATCGAATAGGACCCAGAGAGACGAATCAGCTGAAACCAGACGTCACTCGGAAAAATTTGAGAATCCGTGAGCGAAAGAGAGAGAGACGAAGAAGCAGAGAAGAAGATCTCTCTTCTCATAAATTAAACAAAAACAGAAAACTCAAAAGAGACAATCTTTCCTTCTCTTCTCTTTCTCTCTAATCCGATCTTATTGCAAAAGGAGAAATGCAAAGTTTATGGGGTCGATTCGATTGTGTATAGTGGAAGAAGAAAGATTGGTGAATTAATAAAGGCATTTCCTTTCGGCAAATTTCGTGGGCTCACTGTATTGCTTAGTGTGTAATAATAAATTAATAAAGGCGTAACCTTTTTGTGTGCCTATACTACAATGTCTTGACGTCGATTAATCAGAAATGTGAGTGTGTTTATGTCATGTGACTTTTTGGTTTATTATTTGTATTATTGACCATTATTTTCCAAATAAAGCACCTATGAATTGATTAGTCTTAACTCTTAACCATACAGTACTAAACAATGAATCATATTCCGCTTTTTACGTTTTCCGTCATTTTCTTCTTATGTGTAAGTAGGGAATACGATGGTGGAGGAGGAACCTTTATACGGTCCATGGAATATTCTTGCTACACGCAAGTATATGTGTTGTCTATACATGTTAATAAATTGTTGAGATGTCGGTAATTGCAGGTTTAATACACAAAATATAGTATTACTTATCAATTCATACTATACATGGATTCCGTGCGGTGCAACATTTTTAGAATTCACCTGTAGCAAGAGGATACAGATACGTTATCGTTCTAATATAATCCAAAAAAGAAACAAATTAACATTCATGCACTGAGCAATCAACTTGGATTAAACTAATAAGAATTTTGCAAAAAATGGCTACATATAATCCAAAGATTCAAACAAAAACTTTTTAATCACGAGTTCAGTACGTGTGAACCTATATTTTTCAGATCCAGATCAATTCTGAATGATACGCTTATGAATTAGTGTAAAACCTAAATATCCACCAAAATAACACTGAAATTAGATTATATATATAGGCTGATCAATGATCATCATCGGGTTATATTAATACCCAAGTCAAAATCTACATATGCACTCTCGCCTAATTGAGAGTGGGAGACTAATCAGACTATTAATTACTAGAAGACAAACTAATTAATGTTGTGATTAATACTGTAATTAAGAACGCGGATATACCGTAATTAATTTATTATTTGGTGCCCGTATGTCTGCCTGTGGAGACAAGATTCAATGTGCGGATGACGACTTACTTACACATGCGCATGCAAATGCTTCTTACGTGGCATAACATTTTCTAATACATATGATTAATGTCAATTATTGCTGACTGCACATCGTTATAAAGATATAACTATGTACGTGAAGGTGTCATCTTACACTAAAACACAGTGAAGTAATGTTGATTATATCAGATATACACGGTACCTTAAACCATTCATATTCGCAACGAGAGGTCATACGTTGTTGGTTTTCTCGATAATATATACAATTTCACAAACATGTATGTCCTTCTTCTCGTTTCGTTTCGACGAAAAATAGAATTTCCAAATATAATGGACGTATACCTTGTAAGAGTTTAAGACAACAATGTAACGATTTAGAAGACATTAGAAATTTATAATATTAAAGAAATAATGACGATTTGATATACTTTATCATCAGGATAATATAATATAACTGTTGCTGCATAGTTTTGTCATTAGCGTTTGTTTGGTATCGTCATCAAACCTTTTTGTACCACTTCCAGTCTAGGCCAGCTCACTTTCCACTTTCTTGCCTTTTTCAATTGCTGCGTGTGTAAAAACAGATTCCAAAAACGTAGCTTTTCTTCTTCTTCTTCTTTTTTTGCTAGCTTTTCATTGCTTAGATGAAAACAATTGTGTGTTACTCAATTCATGAAATAAAAGTACGCTTATTCAAAAGGTGCATTTGAGAACAAACAAAAAGGTGAAAAAAATGGATGACTACAGTTTGTAGAAATTGGGTTCCGATCCTATGCAACGGGCACAATGATGGTGGATGAATGTATATAAACTTACCTAACACATTTCTAATTTTCTATCACATGTTCTTTTTCTTTTTGTTGTGTGATGTGTCGATCCATACGACCTAACAAGCCTCCCTATATGGGTCCACATTGGGGACGTTAGGTAATTACTCAGTTCTCATTGGTTAATTTTGGATTGGCAAAAACCCGTTCCTTCCGTTCCATTTCCATTCCATTTCTGTTCCCTAAGTTTAATATCATTTGAGAATGCATTTTTCATATAGGAACTCATGAAATGTTATTTGGTACAAAATGAAACTATTGATTTCTGTTATACGTACTATAATAAGTTCCTTTAAACCTCACTTATAAATGGATTAGTTCTAGTTTCTCCGTTGCCGACCGACAAAGTTACGAATTTTCTCGTTTGGCAACTCCTAGGACTATTGATGATGACTAATTAGCATCAAACCAAACACAATTGAAAATCGTACCTAGATTTGGTATGGCGATTGTCGAATGCGAATGTGGGTCCAGGTTTGTGTATGGTTTTGGAACTTTTGAATTGTCGATATAATATTAAAGTGTACGGGCCAAAGTTAGGCCCATTTAAGGCCCCACCTCCTCAAATTCAACGACGGTACTTTATCTTCTTAATAAATTCCGTCCACTTGTCATTTTCTTCGTCACCGACCTTTTCGCTCACCTTTTACAATTTACACTGCCATGAAAGAGACAGGATCTCATGATTCTCATCCGCACTGGATCTTATTCAACGTATAAATTTTCAGATTAGTTGTTAATCTTTTCTTTATGGATGTACAGACTACAGAGTTCATTCTTTTAATGTGATAAAATGACATAAAATATGGAACAAGGGGGTAAACTAATATCTCGGACAGAATATGGGAATAATTGGGCCCGGAATGATTAATTACTCCTCAGCTCTGACACACAATTTAGGCCCACGTCCACTATTACGGTCAAACCGAGACGATGTGATTGAACCGAGATTCGGTTAGAGATAATATTCAACCGGCCTCTCCCTCTCCCTCCAATGAACTCGAAGCTTCTTCTTCTGCTTCTGTCTGTCTTCCTCTAGGTTAATCGAATCTTCACTGTCGTGTTCGATCTTTCTACTGCGAAGCTATGGCGCTGTGGATGGATGCTGGGTCGGAGCCGATGACGGAGAACGAGAAGGCTGATCTCGAAGCTATTTCTGCTATCAAAGAATCCGCCGCCGTCGAATTTAAAGTATTCACTCTCTCTCGTTCTCTTGATTCCGATGTCCCAATACCTTATCTTCCGTGCTTCAAAGTCTTCCAAAATATCAGATTTGATTCGATGTTTAGTGTAGTTGAAAATTACAAGCTGGGCGTAGTTTTGATTACATTCCTATGCTGATGGAACAATTTCTCGGAATGTTGTTGAAACACAGGAACAGGGAAATGAATGTGTGAGGAAAGGGAAGAAGCATTACTCTGAGGCGGTTGATTTCTACACGAAAGCCATTAATCAGGGAATTCTAAGTGACTCAGAGACTTCAATCTTGTTCTCGAATCGAGCCCATGTTAATCTTCTCTTAGGAAACTATCGGCGAGCCCTCACAGATGCTGAGGAAGCAATCAGGCTATCCCCGGATAACAATAAGGTAATCTTCTTCCTTCTTAAACACTTCTCTATGATTTCTTCGTAGCGTTTTGGTCGTTTCCCTGACTGGTTTCAATGCTTCGAAAGGCGGTGTATCGAGCTGCAAAGGCATCAATGTCACTGGATTTGCTGAACGAAGCAATATCCTACTGCGAAAAGGGAATCGAAAATGACCCGAGCAACGAGGACATGAAGAAGCTTCTAAAACAGGTGAATTCAAAGAAGCAAGAGAAAGAACAACATGAGGCTCAAGTCTCAAAGGCTGTAACGGAAGCCAAGGTTAGATTCATCGACGAATTGCCCCATTTACACGGAAATTAAGCTTTCATGCATAAGAAGCCATATCACCCTTCCTTGGCATTTACTTTATTCAGTTTCCATTGGTTTCGTTGCAGGCTTGTCTCTCTGCTTTTGAAAACAGAGGAGTGAAGATTGGGAAAGCAATGTACAGAGAACTCACGGGTTTGAAGAAGCCAGTGTTAGATAAAAACAACATCCTGCATTGGCCTGTCCTGCTTCTTTACGCAGAGGCCATGACAAGTGATTTTGTTGAAGACTTCTGTGAAACAGATATGTTTGCAACCCATCTTGATATGATATCCTTTTTTCAAAAAGTTTGTTTCTTTTATTCTCTATTTCCTGCAGATTAGCTTCCTTCTTCACTTCATTTTATTGTCCAGTCCTTCCTTAGCGCTCTGAACATGTTTTCAGAGGATAGTCCGCCGCTGCCTTGGGATAAACACAATGACTACACACGCGATGTCATTGAGCTTTACTACGAGGTAATCAGTTCCTCCAACTCCACCCACAAATTGTAACGACAGTTCAAATGTTTCAGTTTAGACATCACACCTGCGATATCCGAGAGAGTCTGGTTCTTGTCTTGACAAATTCAATAGACCAAGTCGTGTTATGATTTATGAAGCATTTCGTGCTAAACTCTGGAACCCTCTTTTCTCTAGGCGAGTTCGGGAACTCCATTGCCTAGTAGTAGAGTTCTCCAGTATCTTCTAGAAGGTACAAAAGGATCTCAAGCCGTTACCACCGGAGATGAGGACACTAGCTTAACCAAGACAGCCCCCAAACGTAAGAATCTTCTATGTATTGATAATTATGTATAAACAAGCACTCTGCATTGTCAATAGCTATGTACTCACCTATTTTGCATGAACTGGGATGAAAGTGAAAGGAAGAGGTTCGTCGGGTATGGTTAAAGTGAACGAAAGAAGAACATTGCATGACGTTTTAAAAGAACCTAACTTTGTCATCCCTGAGATTCCAGGTTTGTTTAATTGATCACTTTGGCTCAGTTTTTTTTTTTTGAACTTCGCAATTCACCATGTTTTTTGGGTTTTTCGTTTACAGTTTTCTACATCGTATCGAAAAGGTCCAAAATCTACAAGGACTTTGTTGCCGGAAAGTGGAATCCAACAGCTTAACGAATGAGCTTATAAAGAGAACTAGCATTGGAATTATCAACACACAATTTGGATATTTCTTATACTTGTGTACGTGGATCAGTGGTGAACGTTTTGGCAGCGTTTTGATTGATTGGCAAATTCTTATTACTGGTAGTGGTAACAGACAATAGATTCAGAAATGTACGTTATTCTCTTTGATAATTATGCATCTAAATATAATCGGGACGAGAGAATCAGAGGAGTAAATATAATATTACAACGAAAAAAAACCTGATTACAAACTTAGTTACAAAGCTACAACAACAAACACAAAACATGGTTCTTTTTTTTACATTTTCCTGGAATCTTTTCAAACAACAGACTCAGAAACCTGCTTCGATTTTTGTTTTTGTTAAAAATAAAGAAAAAAAGGTCGCAAATGGAGAAACGCCATCATCACTTGCGACCATGCACAGTATAAAAATGATACCACCCAGCTTGTGAATGAAAGAAGAAGCTTCTTAGATTTTATAATCGCACACCGGGATGAACACAGAAGGAGCAAGCGGAATTGGAGGAGTTCCCAGAAAGAAACAGAGGAAGATGAATAAGACCGAGAATGCAAGATCTGTCTATGAGAGTTGTGTGTATATTATGGTTGAGACCTGAATTCTTCTCTCCCTAGCATTCTAATGCATAAGTCTGCACCTGTGGTTCATATATTGAAACATTCATATGTTAGTTCAAAAACGTTAATCCCTCCAAACCCTATTAACTTTGACTATTTCAAAAAGATCAACCTTCTCAATAATTCTACCTCGGCCAGGTTCTCCTCAGGTGAGCTGTTGGGTGCAGTGAGGTTGGACGCAGCAGCTGTGTTGTACCGGAAGATCCTAAGTTTGCCCTCCTGGTAAGTATTTAAGAAATCTCAGTAGATGTTTAACTGAAGCGCCGAGAAGAGTTTACACATAACGAAATTGGATCATTTACCTTTGTTCCATAGACAAGACCTCCTCCAGGAGAAGGATGAAAGCAAGCAACATTAACTTCATCCTCCGAGCTTGGAAGTACTCTCACCAGTTCCATATCTGATACTCTGTAAATCTGATGGAAGCGATCAAAAAGTGTAAACTTGTAATAATATATCCAAGTGTAGATAGTAAATGATATAGCACAGGACAAAGAGATCAGCCTAGTAGTTACCTCCAACACTGTGAAAAAATGTGATGTCGTTTCTCCATCACTCACAATACTCTTCAAAAGAGAGCCATGACGCCGACCATATGCAAGCAATATGTGCTCCGAGGTTGGTGAGAACTGCAAGGAAATTTTCGATTAAAAACTACTTTATTTCTCACAAATATATCGAATGCCAGTGTTCGTTAAAGGTGACTAACCTGGATAGAGGTCAAGCAATGGGCAGCCCTAATTGCCCGTGACACAAGAACTGAACCAAATCTGTAGATAGACATAAAGACATTCTCTCATCACTGTTCTGTTGTATGCCATGTGAAGAGCTGAGATATTTGAGAATTAACAAGAGGAAAACACATGTAAGTAACACTTACGTTTTCTTTTCAAGAGAATACACACGCAGTTCATACATAACTTGGTGTGCTGTGACAGGATGTCGAGTAGGGGAAGTTGCAAGCCCTGAATCTTGTTGGACCAGTGTCTGCAAACCAGGATCTGTCTCAGCATGAGGAATAACACAAGCAACACAGGCTGCTAAATATCTCCCACATGGTGAAAAATGGGCTCCCATTTCACTGCAAAGGTAAACACGCATAATGAATCTCCATCAACAAAAGTGAAGTATTATCTATCATCCGAGCGTAACACAACGAGATTAGGGTGACAAATTACCTGCAAAGAACAGCATGATGTATTGTTATTCGACATTTGTCAGACTTCAGTATTGCACATGGGTCTTTGATGTCGTGTGACCACACTCTCAGTTTGACAGTACAAGGCAACTCTGCAGCAGCAATTGAAGTAGCCAGTTCAGAGGGAATTCTATTTACCACAGGTTGAGATGAAAGACCTTCTGCTAAACCAGATCCTGCGAACCGGGACTGTGAATTTCGGTCCCGGGAGTCACCTCTTGCAGAAATCCCATATAAATTAACACCACCAGGAATTTCCAATGACGCTACTGCAGCCTCTAGACTAGCTGTGGACGAATGAGATGCTGAAGAACCTGTATAAGGAGTTGAGTTGACATGACCACTACTACCACTAGGAAGAACCACTGGATTCGCACCAGCTTGGCTTTGAGCCATCAACCACCCATGTAGAAAAGGTAATTCCCAGGAAACTCTGTCTCTTAAGTGAAATAATTGCTGAAGCTGTCCAAACTCAAGTAAATCTGATTGACTTGAAATTTGACTAGGAACTCTGTTTCTTCCAACAGGTTGCGCTTCATCTACATCCATGGCATCAACTGCAGTGGTCGAAGTTCTGGCTCCAGCTTGGGCAGCAAATGTGCTGCTACCAGAGTTTTCTGGGATATGATAGGAACCAGAAAGATCACCAGACGTAGCCAAGGGAAGAGGAGGAGGAGGAGACATTGTTCTGTTGCCGTGTTCTACAGAACTTTGAGTACTTTGAAACCTCGATTGAGCACTCCTTGGACCAGTAGCGCCAGTAGAATACTGGATTCTTGGATCATCAGCAGAATATGAAGGCAAAAGCAAGTAAGGTAATGGCACAAGGGGCAGTTCTGCTGCCACACTGGTAGGGCAGCCACTCTGTGTATTCGTGAAGAAGATAGCAGGGGGCGGATATCGCAAATAACCCGGAGACGTAGCTCTTGTCATTGCGGAATCTGATGAATCAATGTCAGTCACCTGCCATTTGTAGTTAATAGAGTAAGCCCACAAAGTGGCAGAACATTAACCCAATCCTCAATATGTAGCTCACCTCTGCAGTCAAGAGAAGAGGAACCCCATGTGGATGAAAGTGTACAGCTCTCAGGGAACGCCTCGTCTTCAACACAATTGCTGGTGATGAGTCCTCCCCTCTCCTATTATAGTGCCATATGTGCAACTTCAAAAGAAAAAGCATAATCAAAAACTTTAAGAGCCCTTAAGATCAGATATTGTATTCTGAAAGGATAGGCCTCCTGCGACTAGCTAGCGTTTTATGAGAACTTAAAAGGCAATAAGATACCTTATGACCAGATGCAACAGCAAGTAAATCACCTTCAGCGTGGAAAGCTATAGAAGCAATAGGTCGATCTGTTTAGGGAAAAGACGAAGAGGACGGACGTTAATTAGATGGAAAAAAAGCAGCAGAGGAAATGGAACAAAATGCTATAATGCCTAGTACTTACAAAAATCATGGGATCTGATACACTCCGAAGTTTTTGCATTCCATAAGCGCACCTCATGATCTAAACTTCCACTCGCAACTATTTCTGAGTGTCGGGGGTGAAATCTAACCTGTAGAGAACTCAATTAACATTAGATATTAAAGCAGTGGGGATAACCCGTATCTAATTATCGTATTCAAGCAAACCGAAATAATTAAATATAGCAAGTATCGTCTAACATGCTACACAACTAAACAAAAATATAACAAAGTGACACATATCATCTATCTTACAAAACCAATGACAAAGATAGCCGCCAAATTTCATTTCACAAGATGGGATTAGGTAATCTAGAGATAGTTCTGGTCAAGTTAAGTGCTACCTAGTAACCATGGGAAGTCAAAGAGACAATGAAGTTAAGAGCAAAAGGATAGGATTCGCGAACTCACCACCCAGGGTGTTCTCCGATGGCCGGTCAAAACTTTTAAGCATTTTCCTGTCTCACAATCAATAATCTTTACGGTGTGGTCACCACTGCGAGATACAAAACCAAGTCATTCTCATTAGCAAACGGAAAAGATTAAAGTAGAGCACATATGACTCATAATACTTACTGTGTAGACGCAAGAGTCCTTCCATCAGAACTAAAAGCTGCTGCGATAGTTGACCTTGGAGGAGGCACAAGAGGACAGTATTTAGCAGATAAATGATGCAATGACTCTGCCTCGACCCTGCATAATCATATGAGGAATGTATTTTGCAATCAGAGCCCGAAAGGGTGGGGATAAGGATCATATAAACTCGAAAATGCATCTGTTTCTCAATAAAAGGAGCTTGAAGGAACGAAGAAGCGATGAAAGCAAGGTACCATGAAATAAGATTATGTCCCAGCTCGCTCACTGGTTCGCCACTGGTTCCACACGACGAATCAGCATCCCGTCGGCTTTCACCCCATCGTTTCCTTGGCACAAACTTGGTTTTTGGTGAAATTTCTCTCTCAACCAGTAACCTGAAGACGCTCCTACACCTGAACAATCATATTAAAACCAGACTGAGAGTGATCCAACCAGATCAGAAGCTGAAAGAATTACTCATCTAATCGAGATCCATTTCCTAACAATACTGCCGCTTCAATTGCTGACTAATCGAGATTCATCCAAAGCCTTGTCCTTTCGAGTATGATTAGTGTGCCAAAACTACTAATACATAAGATCTCTCACCTAAAAAGAATACTTGCATAGCCATCGTAACACAAGAGGATTGAGAAATGAACATCAGCATCCGAATTTTCTACGATCTCCTAAACAAGCCTTCTAACTACTTGATCTAAAGCTGGATCTCCTTAAAATGAACAAAGCCGTTCCAAGTTTGTATAATTCAGAGGCAGCAAAACATCAAAAGTTACTACTAAATTTCATAATTCAAACTCAAGTCAATAAGCAACTTCTGACCTCTTGCGCTGGAAATTAGCCACTGGTTTTGGTGACGGTAACAGCGACCGAGGAGAAGGTTGATCGTGCGACCAGATAGATTCCGTCATCTTCAAATCCGAAATTCATATGAATTCCCCAGTTGATAGAGAATCCATAGATGCGACCAAAACAAGGACGAAACCCTAAATCGGTGATCTCCGTGGAAAAGAAGGCCCAAATCGCCGATCTAATCTGCCCGAAATTCCTCTCCGGTGGCTCCGCCCTCGAGATGGGTTGATTCTCGTTGGGACTTTTTCTATGAAGAGCGACGAGGAAATCTAAAAGGAAAAAAAGGAGGCCATGGCTAAGGTCTGCTAAACATTAAAAGGATCTCCTTTTTTCTTTCTAATTGAAATACCCACTTCTCTTGATTATCTAAAACACATGCTTTACAATTTTAAATATTACCCTCACACTTTCTAGTATTTCGTTATTATACCCTAATTAATTTTATAAAGATCAAGTAATAACTGTATGGTCCAAACTTTATACATAAGAAGATTACTTCGTATGAGATTTCGTAATTCGTATTATCTATCTTTGCAGCACAAGCTTTTGTAATTTGGCTGATCCTTGAAGAACTTACTGGAGATGAATGAAAACTAAAAGAGACATAACTCGAAGCAAAACTACAAGCAGTTAGCAAACTTTTGCAATGAACAGATAAGCATCCTAATCATTAACACAACTTGTTAATACAGCTTGTACCGGTTCGGTTTTTCATTCATGTATTTCCAAACAACGGTGTTAAGTGTTAACTCAAAACAAATCCATTGAACAAAGAAACCTACCAAAAGTCGTCACTTACTACATAGTCTACATATATCAATAACCTTAGAAGACGATGATACAGCTGACATGGTTTCTAAAGAAAATCCTAAAGCAAGCTATCGGCTCTTGACGGCAACCGCCTAAAGAAGCTGAGCCCACGCGACGGTAGCTTCCTCCTAAATCGAGGCGGTCTCAGATAATACAAACCAGAAACAGCCACTGTCAACTTAAGCGGCACCATGTAAAATCCAACCGCTGCAAATAAGCACAACACCAAGAAGAGAAACGTAGCTCGTGGATCACGCCAGCTCAGCAACGCCTGCGCTCTCTCTCCCTGACTCGCCATGTCACCAACCACCATCTGAATCCTCCCGGCGATGCTCCTGACACGATCGTACCTCATTCTCACAACCTCAAATCCCCTGCTCGTCGGAAACGTGTCAAACTCTTCGTCAAGCTCATCGGGAAACACGGTCTCCGCGTGCGATATGCGCGCGTCCATGTGTGGAGGATGTCTAGGCCGCCGCCTAAAACGCCAAACACCAACCGCAGCCGCGTAGAGAAACAAACCCGGTAATATAAGCTCCGGATACAAAACCACAAACAAGAACACCACAACGAAAACCGTTGAGCATACCGGTTTAGTCCAACTTCTCATAACTTCAACCAATCTCGCAACCGCGACCAAACCGGAAATCACGTTTACAAGCCTGAAAAAGTTAGCCTTGCTCCTTCTCATACTCCAAACATGTAAGTCGTGATCAAGCATGTATTCCACAACCTCACGACCCAATGGCGGCTCAGCTCTACTCAACCTCGCGATCACCGCGTTTAGCGTCTGATACCGCAAACGCTCAATCATATGAACGCCTAACGGCTGTGTATAATGCATCTTAGGAAGCAGCGGTAACGTGTACATCTGAAGCATGTTTACAGCGTTACCGCACGATAACTTAACCGCTAAGTGAAGCTCACCCGTTTTCTTCACTCCCGTAGCGTGCAACACAATCAACGGGTACGAATGCGTGTAAACCCTTCCCGTCTCTAGCGTCGACAACCTAATCCGAACCTTCCCAATCCGTGCATCGCGCGAGTTACCATTGTTCCCATCCACACGTGCGTTATCGAACACACCCACTGTTACAACCGTGCACGGGTCGTTAACTTCCCAAGTGTACTGCTCATTCCATTTCGGACAAAGACTGTCCACGATGGTTCTTGTTCTGACCCATTTTGGCCCGTACTTAGCCACACAGTACGAGTCTGCTGTTCCACCGCCTTTCCCGTCTCTAACCTTCATTGGCATCAGACCCGTGGCACTGAGAATCCCAATCTCTAAAAGCCCAACTTGCGGTTTCCATAGCTCTTTCGCTGTCGGTCTAACATCACTACTGTACATTGTAGCCTCATCCAAAACATGGTAGCCACCATCTAGTGACAATCTGAGATGGATCCTTGAACCAAACCGGTTGTTGTTGCTACCATTATCTAAGCTGAACCATCTTGAACCAACTGGTTTGTCCCCGGTTCGTCTCTCAACAGCAGAAACCGGAATCTGAACCCTCCCGACACCGACGTCGTTTTGTCCTCCCATAGCACCACCACCCACACGATCCTCAACGATAGCTGTAATGTAATCCTCAAACGGCTCTGCTACCACAAACATCAAATCCTCGTTCCAATACGGATTCGAAAAGCTCTGCGTTGGGTTTGGAGACGAGACCGCAGTCCGAAGAATCTGATTCCCCACTTGCAGCTTTGCGGAAAGCTCCGGGAACCGCATGAGACCTGGTCCTTTGTCCATGATTGCAACATCTTGAGCCTCGATCACTGAAACCCTAAGGTACCAAAGCTTAGGAGACAAGTAAACCTTCGATTTGATTGACGAAAGTCCTTCAATGTGAACATTTCCAGCCTTTGAATGCCATGACTCAGCAAAGGCCTCGTCAGCTTGAGTCCCAAACCACACCGAAACCATAAGCTCTCCGCCGCCTCTACCGCCGTTTCTGCTCTCTATTTTGTACCATTGCGGAGCTAACGGACTATCCGGAGGAACCCGGGTTGGGATTTCACTTAAGTCGAACCAGACCCGACCCGTATACTCGTCTCTGTTACCTTCTTTGACGAAAATCTCAGCTACAGAGGATTGAATGGTTTCTTTAGAAAAGGCGAAAACTTGGTTCCACTCGGGGTTCTTCGAATTCGAGCTCACTTTTTTAGTGACTCCCCTGTAATTACCCAATTTCACTTCCGACACGACATCGCCGGATACAGACAAGTCTTTAGCTTTCACGACTCTAACATAGAGATACTGCATTTGCTCAACCAGATCGTAAGTTGAGCTTGTCTTGTCCTTGTGACTACTCAAACCGCCAACACCACTACCACTTCCTCCAAGACGAGGCTTTGTCTCCTTGAGTGAAAACTCATTGGAGCCGTTTGGGTAAGTGACGGGTCTGGGTCCTGGTCCGGGCATTGGAGTGGGAAGAGCGGTTATCACGAGAGGCTTTATCTCACCTTGGTTCGGATATAACGGAAGCATCATCTGTCCTTGACCATTCTGCTGATTCTGTTGCTGATTTCCTCTGTTGTGATTGTGAAGAGATATCTGTTGCTGTTGCTGCTGCTGTTGTTGAATCGACATGGAAGAGCTCAAATTCTGTACTTTCTTGCTTTTCTTTGACCCACCCGACCCGCTAACCCGGCGAAGATTCTCACCGTTCTCCGCCATTGTGGTGAGGTAGTGTTTGACGCTGATTTCACCTCGCACGTGCGAGAAAAGGCTTCTCTTTTCGAGCGTGTGCAGCTGAACAACTGATTCTCCTTCTCTTCCAATGCTAGACCCCAAAACCCTAACTTTACCCAGAAAGTTTCTGGTGTTGGAGGAACGCTTCTCGTTGAAAACGCTGATATCTAGGGTTTTGTTGGCGAGGTCGTTGGCGTCGATAACATGGAAGACGAGCTTCTCGTTCCAGATGGGGTTTAAGTCTTTGGTCTTCACCAAAGTTCGGAGACGTTGGTTCTCGAACTCGACTTCCACGAAAGGAGAAGAAGAGCCTTCACCATCTTTTGGCATGAGATTGTGTGCCCCCACTACCTCCACTACGAGCTTCTCGTTGCCGTTGCCGGCTTTAGCGTCATTCATGACCGGAATAGCACAAGTGAGAAAATGGAGATGCAGATAAACTTGAGAGAAAGAGAGAGAAAGAAATTGAAGGCACAAGGCAGCGAAAGGACAGTGGAGTAGAGAGAGAGAGTGAGTTTGTGTCTGAAGATTAACAAGTGAGAGAGTGTCAAGGAAGAGAATCTGGATTTTGTATTTTTTCACTTTTTTCAAATATACTTTATTGATTTTTTTTAAAATAGATTCAGATATTCTCGGTGAAAATGTTTTTTTCGTCAAGCTTTGAATACGTTGGATTTGTATGTATATTCAAATTAAAATAAGTTTACCTCTGCCCAAAAAAGGATTTTACCCACGACAGCTTTTTGTATATAATAATAGAGCAGAGAACATAAAGGAAGCGAACTTAGGGGAAAATGACAGAACAGCCTCGAGGTTTACGCTTGGTGGTCGCGCGTGGAATAACGACGTCTCTCACCAATGACATTGCTCTGCCTGTTACGGTCTTACCGTATACTTATTGCTTTCCTCCTGATCTACTGGGACCCGCTTTCGCTTTCACTCTTTTTTACTTTTTACCTTTACTCAATTTTTATTCATAAATAAGAGACATTTATGACGTGGGGAGATGATGGAAAGAAGAGGCTCGCTCAATTCTCGTGGCAGGTCAAACCTCAAAGGTCTATGGAACAGCAATTTGTCTTAAAAGAGTATTTGTCAGAGTACTTGGCATTAACTGTAATGTTTTGACATTGTTTTGGAAGAATTTTTTAAAAGAAGATTAGCTTGGTCGTTTTCAGGAATAAGTGTGTGGTTTTAAAATTATCATTCAAGACCTTGCATCATTTTTACAATGTAACTTACTAACTTATATTCGATCATATTTTGTTTTGTTCATTTGATTCTAATTGTACCTTTGAAATTGTTCCAAGTACCTTGAAACTAACAATAAGAATGAACGGGCATTTAATATCTACAATAGTACTAGTCCTTTTGCTTTACACAAGCATAGAAAAGGTTACGACTTAAGTTTGCAGGGTTTGTCATTATGTGCATAACGTTCTTCTTGTTTTCTATAGTTCCCACAGGCCACAAGTTAATAAATTATCGGCATTTATTCATTTTTTTTTTTTCCATTTGCCACACACTGTTGTGTTTTTTGTTTCTTTCGTTTCTTGGGTATGTCTTCCTTCTTTCTTTAATTTCTTCTGCAGGCTTTTGTGCATGCAATAAGTTTAAAACAGTGCAACAAATGTTCGTCCTTGCTAATGACTGCCACGTGGCATCCACTTCGTAGTCCTCGGAAATCCTACTTGGTTTCTTGACCTGCCACAATTCGAAAATTCAAATTACAAAAACCACGGTCTGTTCGAATTACGGCCTTTGTCTTCTCTAGCCTTTTTATTTACTAACCCGTTGTGCTAAATGTTGGTTAACGTGTTTCACTGTTTCGTCTTGGTCAAAACGAAGTGAGGTAAAAAAATTATTGTGACCCCTTTATTACTTCAACGTTAAAAACTTTAAGCCCAGTATATTTTGTTTAAAAGCCCAGAACCTTTCTACCAAATAAAGGCCAGTACTTTTAAGAATACGTAACATGGGCCATTTTGAACAATAAGCCATAGACACTATTGACATCGACAATAGGCCCACATATTGTGAGAACCTTACTTACAAGTTACAACCGTTTTTTCAGTTAGAATGTTTCAAAAATAACAAAAGAACCAACTGTTATTACTGATAAGTAAGAGATATTTTAGAATTTTACTGATATAATTATTTCACGTCAGTTGATATTTCATTACTGATTGTTTTATTTTCTTTTTGGACATCTGATGTATATTACTGATTTAAAAAAACCAATAATTATAATTAAATGAAGGGATTTTGTAAGAAATCGGACAAAATTAGTGTTCCGTGTCCGAAATACTAGGTCGTAATACGAAAGGAGAGACAGGGTTAGTATGGGAAAATGTTGTCTTAATTCAACGTCTAGTTATGATGCTGTCATTTTAATTAAAGTAAAATTCTTCTCCAGACAAATCCCAAAGGTGGGGGAGGTAAGCGGAGAGGGAAGCACGAAAGAAACGCAATCGAAAAAATTAGAGAGAAGAAAATAAATTAATAATCAGAAGAATTTCTCAGACATTACAAAATCCGAAACGCGTTCCGATTTTTTTGCTATTCCTTTTCCTTGGAATCAAATCTCGTTAGAATTCTTGCAAGGCATTTCGCATTCGCATTGTCGGTGTATTGTCGGTGTCTGGAGGCTTTAGTTACGAGGAAGTTCAATGTTGCTTTGATCTCAACTTAGATCCAGAGAAAGCAACGAACATTGAGTTTCTTATTCGTGAAACAAAATGGTAAAGGTTTCATGGGTTTTTGATGTTTTCTTTTTTTTTCTTTTGATTGCATTGAATTCGTCTTATTTACGATGAAGAATAACGGAGAGAGAGGTTTATGTTTTGTGTGTTGTCGTTTGATTGAAATCTGACTTTTGACTTTGAAGCAACGATCAGTTTGTAGTTTAGCGATTGTAATTTTTCAATCATTGAGATGCTTGTTTTGTGTCATCGCATTGTTTGGTTTCGTAACAGAGTCCATGTACGGCAGATATTTGACTTTAATTCAGACATGTCTGTTAGAGTTTGGTGTTTAGTCCTTGACTTGTCTGATCATCCATTAGCTAGTAGTGGGCGCAAAGATATGTTAAATGCGTAGGCGCATTGATGCCAGTTTCTGGTAGCAATTCTATTTGACTTTTTTTGAGTTGGTGGATTGTACTTACGTTACGCTGCATTTAAAGCTCTTTTGGCACATTTATGGAGTAACGAAAAGTTGTGTGGATTCTGTTGGTATTCATTAGAAGTAGCAATCTTAAAAGGTCTCGGAATTTGATTTTGCTGCAATTTCTTTTACATATAAGCAAAGGGTGAAAACTGAATAGTCAAAGTTTATAAGAAGTGTCATAGTAACTTTTGATCAGCTTTTGTTTACAAGTTCTGTTATGCTCTTTTGAGACCCTCTGTTTCTGTGCAGGCTGGTACCTTCAATCCTGCAGTTGGGTCGCGTGTGTGGGTGGAGGACCCCGATGAAGCCTGGCTCGATGGTGAAGTTGTGGAGATCACCGGTGAACAGATTAAAGTTCTCTGCACTTCAGGGAAACAAGTATGTGCTTATATATCCTCTTGTGTGTGTGTTTGGCTTTGGAAGCATGAAAAGCTTCAATGATTGTTTCTTTCTTTCTGAAAACACAGGTGGTTGTTAAAGCTTCCAATATATATCCCAAAGATATGGAAGCGCCATCATCTGGTGTGGAGGATATGACAAGGCTCGCTTATTTACATGAGCCTGGAGTCCTTCAGAATTTGCAATCAAGATATGATATTAATGAAATTTATGTGAGTGACTCACAGAGATTGTTGCATCTCCTTGTTTTTTTTTTTACTGTTTGCTGTTAGACTGAAACATGTTTACTTTCAGACATACACGGGAAGCATACTGATTGCTGTGAACCCGTTTAGAAGACTTCCACATCTGTATAGTAGCCATATGATGGCTGAATATAAAGGTGCCTCTCTCGGTGAGCTGAGTCCACATCCTTTTGCTGTTGCAGATGCTGCGTATAGGTAACTTTTAGCACATAATACTCGTTTAAACAATGTTTTGTATTTCATTGTTGATTTTTTAAATGTAAATGGCATGTTTGCTTGGTTTGTTCTGGTGCAGACAGATGATTAATGAAGGAGTAAGTCAATCTATCTTGGTTAGCGGTGAGAGTGGTGCTGGTAAAACTGAGAGCACAAAGTTGCTTATGAGATATCTTGCTTACATGGGAGGGAGAGCTGCTGCCGAAGGAAGAAGTGTTGAGCAGAAAGTTTTGGAGGTGAAGACATAGTTATACATGTTTTCTTTGTTTTGGTATATATATAGAGATTGGTCAGGTTTTCTTATATTTATGTTTCATACAGTCGAATCCTGTCTTAGAAGCATTTGGAAACGCAAAGACTGTTAAGAACAATAATTCCAGGTAATGAGGTTTCGTCGCTCTCTGCTTCACATTCCTTCAAGTGTATGTGAAAGGTTTTGATTTCCTTGTTTGTGTGTGTGTTACAGTCGATTTGGTAAGTTCGTGGAGATTCAGTTTGACCAATCGGGGAGGATATCAGGAGCTGCTATAAGAACTTATTTGTTGGAAAGATCGCGTGTTTGCCAGGTGTCTGATCCTGAGAGAAACTATCATTGTTTCTACATGCTTTGTGCTGCACCAGAAGAAGTATGTTTCATCTCAAAATCAACTTTATAAATATAACTGCTGGATTTTAATGTACGTCTCATTTCTGTAACTATCTTCTTCTACTGTCAGGATGTTAAGAAGTTCAAGCTTGGGGATCCCAAGACGTACCACTATCTCAATCAATCTAAGTGTCTCGCATTAGAAAGTATCAATGATGCGGAGGAATATCATGCAACAAGAAAGGCTATGGATGTCGTTGGGATCAGTTTCGAAGAGCAGGATGCAATTTTCCGTGTGGTGGCTTCCATTCTGCATCTGGGGAATATTGAGTTTGCTAAAGGAACAGAGATTGATTCATCAGTTCCGAAAGATGAAAAGTCTTGGTTTCATTTGAAAACAGCAGCTGAGCTTCTCCAGTAAATGGCTCGACTCATAGACTGAAGTGTGTTGTTTCTATATGTGACGGAAGAGGGTTTCGTTATTGACATAGTCTTTTCTTTCTTTCTTTTTTGCAGGTGTGATGAAAAGTCACTTGAGGATTCTCTATGCAAGCGTATCATGGCAACACGTGATGAAACCATCACAAAAACTCTCGATCCAGAAGCTGCTACTCTTAGCAGAGATGCTTTGGCTAAAGTCATGTACTCACGGTTGTTTGACTGGTGAGTTTCTTGACTTAGTAGCTACTTCTCTTCATTTGAAGTACTAAGTTTGAATTGTATTTCAACTGAACTGTTTTATACTTGTCTGTGAAGGCTCGTTGAGAAGATTAACAGTTCAATTG